AGATGCCATCACAATGACATGCCACCAATTGGTCAGCTTCCTAAGGATCAGGTCATGGCGATTGCTCATGACTGGCTAAAATACCAAACACCCAGCCCCCAAAGGCTCAGCCTACCGTTGCCTTTCATTCAACTCATGTATTACCAAGGCTTTGTTTGAATTATTAATAGTAACCAAGTCCTAAGCTCTAAAATCCATCGAATGCCAAGTTCCCTTACAAACTGAAATCGTTCCAGACCTCAACAATCCTGTTTTACAACAAATGTATAATTGCATAAATACAAACTCTTCTGCAGTGTGGGGACATGTATGAAGTCTCGTGTCTACCCAACCCCGTCAGCACGTCCCCAGAGGAAACCTGGCTGACTTCAGGTCACAAACAGCCTTGGAAGTCCAGTGACAAATCAAGAGGTGCCTTGCCTTACCCTCATTACCACCTGGAGGGGTTTTCTAGATGTTGGCATTGGCCAGTCTGTATTTTCTTAGGCTCATCTGGGAGAAGGAATTTGAATGCTTGCCCTCTGGATGTGGAGTATCCATTTTGGTGAGGACATTCCTAGGAGGACGTAAATCTACCCTTTTGCCATGGTGTCCTGTGCAGTGATGCCAGCAGACTAGTTCAGCTGTGCCCGTTCATCCTCCCTCATGGAACGAGCCTGTTTCCTCACACCAAGGTTTTAGCCCACCCAGTGCCCAGTGGGAGAACTATCACTTCCCTTTGGTGAGAGCAGAGTTTGCTAAATGCCACCCGTAGAAGTCCAAGTAGTGAGAGCACTGAAGTCCAATTCTTTGCATTACTGAGTTTTCATAGATTTCATTCATTTGTTGTTGTCTGTGCAAAGTGGCGAGGTGGGGGGAGGGAGTCACACTATCTATAGCTTGGGGCATCCAGAGAGTGACCAGTAGATGGAAGAAGGGGGGCCACATTAAGGAAACCTAAAGTATGTGTCAGCGTGGAAATGTACTTTATATTTGCACACTTCCAGAATACTTTTGAAACCAGAATTCAGAAAAATAAAAGATATTTTATTCCCAGGGAAAAAGAGATCTGCAGATGATTGGCTTCTGTGCTATGTTGCAATCCCTTAATGTCAGACTCATAGGAGAATAGGTGGCACATCTGTGTGTTTGTGTTGGAGCGAATTCACCCATAAACACGTGCACCCATAAACGTGTGCACCCATGAGTGCATGCACATGGGTGCATGCNTCTTTGCATTACTGAGTTTTCATAGATTTCATTCATTTGTTGTTGTCTGTGCAAAGTGGCGGGGTGGGGGGGGAATCACACTATCTATAGCTTGGGGCATCCAGAGAGTGACCAGTAGATGGAAGAAGGGGGCCCACATTAAGGAAACCTAAAGTATGTGTCAGCATGGAAATGTACTTTATATTTGCACACTTCCAGAATACTTTTGAAACCAGAATTCAGAAAAATAAAAGATATTTTATTCCCAGGGACAAAGAGATCTGCAGATGATTGGCTTCTGTGCTATGTTGCAATCCCTTCATGTCAGACTCATAGGAGAATAGGTGGCACATCTGTGTGTTTGTGTTGGAGCGAATTCACCCATAAACACGTGCACCCATAAACGTGTGCACCCATGAGTGCATGCACATGGGTGCATGCTCATAAACACAAACTGCGGCACACCAAGTATAAACAAATGAAGCAGAAGTTTAGCATCAAGTTTGTTCTCATGTTTGTTAACATCGTAGCTTTAAATTTGCTTTCTCCTAACTTATCAAATGGAAATATGGCTCCATTTGTTCTTTAAAAATATTACCAGAAGCCCTGTCAATGTGGTAATTTTACCTTTCATGTAATACACTTGCCAACAGCTGTTTTCTGCTGAAATGGGACTCAAGATTTTTTAATCCAAGGCCAGTGCTGCCTGCTCTGTTTACAATGGCTTGTGTTTTGTGAATACATATCAAATGTTGTAATATATTTTTATGATAGAATTGATGGTTAATACAAGGAAAGAAAGTATATATTGTGATTCTGTCCAATAAAGCTTCCTGTTATAAAATCTTATCCACATTTTGATGACCTGGTATGAACACATTTTTACGTACAAGCTAATTGTCAGAAATGCTGGCTTTCCATACCTTTATGGTGGCACCAAAGTATATATTTCTTTCCTCTCCTGTCTTCCAATATCATACCCCCTTTTCTCTAGCACATCCACTGTCCCAGGTGCTCCTGGCCTTACATCACCTTTGGGACCCTCTCTTCCCCTGTCCAAACCCACAGCAGCCACCCCTCTCCCAAACACACCTGCCCAGGGCAAGGTATGTCCTCCACCCTCCCAAATACCATGTAACCTTTGTCACTTTGAGCCTATTCTTTAGGCCTTGTTAGATGACCAATTAGGTGCTCAGATCTTAGGAACAGCACAGCAGGGGCCTTGGGAGGGAAGGAGTCCCATGCTTGTCGATTGCCTGCTGTGTGCTGGGGCCTCAGCCACAGATTGTCACTGAAGGGCTCCAGAGGTGCAGCTTTCTCATTTAGTAGCTTGCAGGGACTGAACTCAGAGAGGTTAAATGAATTGTCCAGGATCACACAGCTAATAAGTGGGGACTGAGATTTGAACCCGGGTGTGACTGATACTAAACTCCTGTTTTCACCAAATGCATGAAGGTGCCTCCCAAACTTAGAGATGACTCAGCAAAGGCCCCTCTTTTTACAGCTAGGGAAACTGAGACACAGAGAAGGAAGTGACTTCCCAGCATCAGACATTAGAACTCAAGTGTCCTGGGGTCTTAGGCATGTCACTTCATTTTTTTCAGAAAACACTACTATTTTTTCTGTTTTGATGATAGAATTGATGGTTAATACAGG